GACAAATGCGAGTGCATTTATTCGGACATAAATTCAAAAGTATTACCAATGCTTGTCTTTTTCTAGCAAGAAGAGCCAATGCATTAAGCCTGTCGAGCGAATCCTTCTCTTTTTTCATTTCAATATAGTATGGCTCCTCAAGCTGAACTATCGGATTTTCGGTCACGGCAACTAACCCATTTTGACTGGACGAGTTATTCACAGCTCCTTTCTGCGCAGTCTTCTTATCATCTCTGCATAGAGTGTAGTTTGGCTTCAAAGCCGTTTGTATCGCCACCTAATGGAGCAAGATTCTTAGAAGGACAGAACAAAAAATAATGTATGAAAATAAAAAAGAAAGAACCTACCTTAAAGTTGGTAGCTTCCGTACTATGTGCAACATTTTGCACAGATGGAGTATTCTCTCTACTCCGGTTATACACAATGGTTTTCGAATTTAGCTTCCTGCTCGAATCCTCACTCTTAGGACAGGTCTTAGTAGATTCACTCATGGTAAGTGTCCCTTTTGAAGTACCAGAAAAATCTGGATAAATAACTTTTTCCGCCTTCATTGAAACCTGATTCGATTTCTTGGGAAATTTCTCTAACGCCAATGTTTTTGGAGAAGGCTCTTTAGTAGGTAAACTCTTGTCATCTTCGAAATGAGGTAAAGCAACCTTTTTGGTTGAAGAAGATGATTCTTTTTCGCCTGTTTTCATGGTGCTTGGGGCGCTGTAGCCATTTAAACTCGGCAAACTACAAATCCTTCCTGTAATATTTGTGATACATCGTCCAATGGGAGAGTACATGTTCAAGCAACACAATCATTATGGAATGAGTGGTAAAGAACAGAAGAGTACAAGAAGAAAAAAAGCTCATTTATTCAAACACCAGCTTTGGTTTCATATTTTGCAGAATTTAATTAAATCTAACAGAAGAGGAAGTTGGCTTAAATCTAACAAATAGCACATAAATCATGACAATATCAGTCTCCTCCTAAAACAAAATATTAGATGGAATTACAGACAATCTTGTCAATATATTTATTAAAGCATATCCTCCTCAAAACAAAGATTATAGAGATTAAATGGCGCCAAGACAAAGAAAACGAATCAAGGATGGGCGAAAAATAAGTTCATTGACAATATACCTTGAAAGCCAGCTCGCGATGAATTCCACATAAGGAACCATGTGATAATACTCGACAAATGCTGTAGACTCCCAACAATGACCATACTTTTCGGCCAAAGGGCCGTGCAAACTGACAGAAGTTGATAATATTATGTTTTCACGAGCCAACTAAACATAAGCTTTCTCTTTAAGCATATCATTCTCATGCATATTTACAGTTAACAATTTAGAAAAAAGTAATGTGATTACGGGTCTAACCTCTCGACCAGAAATTTAAGCGGGACTGTTTGGTTCGTGCTGAACGGCTTTTTATGCTGCATCATGTAAAATTATGTGGCCGATTTTTCTTTACTCAACGAGTACGTAACATGAGTCTCCAGAAGCACAAGATCAGCACTGTCAATCTCTGCCTCAATGTAACAAAACAACAGTCGTTAAGTACTCAAGTCAATACATAATAACAAGATTCGATTTTGATATACGCATCAAAGATATAAAAAGAGAACTCGTAAAGAATTTCGAGATAAGACAGCTAATCTTCTGTAGCAAAAAAACTTGAAGCTGAGAATCAAAAGTGAATTAAAATACCTGATTTTTCTTTCACAGCATCAAACGCAATCTGTTGCAAATTCACCTTCCGACTGACGAATTTCCTTTTTGCACCCACTTTTTCGTCTGCCGAAACTCCTTGGTTTAACTCATTGATCTCCTTTTCAACGAGTGACCAGACACCTTCAGTCACAGAACCAAACCAAAGCAAACAATGTTCTTTGTTTGGGTCAATCAACAACACCCCAACTTTCGTAATCGGCCATTCTTCTATAAGTAGAACATCTTTTGATGCATCTAAGTTTAAAGAGATGTTGCATGCGTCCTCCACCGACTTTTCAGTCAACGAGAGCTCATTCTCAGCTTCCACATTCAGAGCCCCGACTTCAGTTCGACTAGTTAAATTCATGAATGCCGCCAGAGATGGGCATAGTGACATGGCCAATTTACAAAATGCGACATGATCCAAAAATTAGAGCTCCGGTTTTTGCTTTCTGTGGTAGTAATTGTAAAGCAGAACAACCGTGTGCATCTATTTTTTATGTACTCAAACTTACAACCCAAAGTTAGAACAACTAACATACTCCTAATATTAGTATCATCAGAACATCTGACCAACGAGCAACGGAATGAAACATAGAGAACATTTTATCATCAAAATGAATTGACAAGGCAACCTTAACAAGCCCCTGACCCACTTCAAAAAGATTAGATCTTTATAATGGAATTATACTAATAACTCAAATAGAGAAGAAAAAAGGTAAACATACAGATTTCAGTTCAATGGATAATGAAACAATAACACAGGATCAAGATGAATACTTCTACCATAACCATGGTAGAATTTGTAGGCCAGCGGCTGTCTGGGACCCATATTTTGGTAGCCTCATTTTTTGCCCAAACAATTTTCACAAAGGGAAAAACAATTTGTACTCTACAGAATCGCTTAGGCTGATTTTTACTACCTTGCAAATGTTACTCCATAGTTTTTTCACAAGGAATCATATAATGCAAAAGCGTTTAAAACCCAGACACCGGCATAGCAAACAATCAGCACAGTATCCTAGTCCAGCAAAACAGAAAGACAAAATTTACACACAAGATTCAGCCAAACCATCTATTGCAAAGTGAACTGATAAGCCATGTACAATGCAAAGGTACATGACGAGTCGAAGCAAACATCAGAAATTTTTGGCCAAGCTGGCAATAATAAACTGAGTTTGTGATTATAATGTCCTTTCAAAGCCAGCCATAGGAAATTGGTAAACATACTAATAATGTAGGTAGAAATTCATATACAAAGGACATTCAAAAGCAAACTAAAAGGATAACCAGGGTTAATGTTAAGATACTACCATCACAAAATAAACCTGAATTCCTACACAAAGTAACAAAAGCCTGGAAACTAGCAAATCATAAACACAAAGCAAAATATCCAATGGATCCACCGCATAATAATCATAAAATAGCCTGGAAACCTGCGTGCACACCACCCTCAATAGCCCCGGGACTTCATGATCTGCACAAGAAGCTTCGACTGTTGAGTCTTGAGCTCAAAATGCTTCACATCGACCTCCATAGCTTCATTATGGAGCTTCTTCCATGCTTCTTTATCCTCCTTAACCCCCATTTCCTCCTCCTCGAGCTTGAGGTCCCCAACAGCTAGAACATTCTCGCCTAAACCACTAAACAACATTTCCTTCATCCGCACAAACCTCCTCTCACTTGCCACTAAATCCTTAATATTATTGCCTTTTTCGACCCCCATTTCTTTCTTAGCCTCACTGCCATTGCCTTTTTCGACCCCCTTTTCTTTCTCAGGCCCACTGCCAGTGGCATTTTCTTTATCAGCCCCCCACACTTTATCCGACAGATCGTAGGCTTCCTGCTCGTGTTGGCTCGTAAATCTTCTTCCTTTACCTTCCTGCTCCTTTCTCTTGTTGGTTGTGTATTTTTTTTTCATCCTAGACATCTTATCCCTCAGCTGGTTCCTCCTCACGTCAAAGTGCAAATTCTTCTTGATGTACGCACGAAACGCGTCCATATTATCATACGGGTCGCATTTATTCTCGGCCCTAAACTGCAGAATTCCGTTCAGGAGGGCGATTTCGTCCGATTCGCTCCATATCCTCTGGAATAATACCTTCTTCTCGGATGCCTCGGGTTCAGCCTTCTTGCTGGTCTTCAAATTCTTGGTGACAGTGGGCACCGTCCCTTCAGCATCGAGGGCCCTCTTTCTGGTCTTGTCCTTGCCTTTCCTTTTGGATTCTTTTCTGGAATTCTTTTCCGATTCGGATTCGGATCCAGAATCCTCGTCGGGTGGGGCGGGCTTTGAGGCGACAGGGGTTTGGGGTTCAGCCTTCTTGCTGTTCTTCGACTTTTTGGCGACAGTGGGCCCCTTCCCCTTAACTTCCTTGCCTTTCGCTTTTGATTTTTTTCTGGACATTTTGTGGGATTCGGCGGGCTGTGCGGAACGGGTTTCTGGTTTCTTGGCGGCGGCCGGCGGAGCGGAAGACTTACGGATCGGTTCAGGCTCAGATTCGATTTCCTCAGACGAGGAATGGTCGTAAGAAGAGGTTTCAGAGAAGACGGGCTTCTCGGGCTGACGAGCTTTCGACATTTCAGGAGAGAAAATTATAACAATGTTAGGTTTTTCTTTGGAGGAGTCTGACTGAGTGCAGTGACTAGTGAGGGTTTGGCTTTAAATATTTTTTCTTTCTCATTTTTTTCTTTTTTCTTTTTTTTTTTTTTTTTTTTTT